GCCGCTGCTCCACTGTATTGCAGGTACTGGGCATGGACACAGCACCTGAAGAAAGACCCTATTTCTCAAATTTAAATTTGCCCTAGAAGCTCAGAGCTGATCTCTGCCTTCACTATGAATGTTGCATCAAATCATGTTAAGGATAGAGTCAGGTACATGCTGCAAGCAAATCTTTGAGAGTCTTCATTAGGACAAAGCTAGTGTCTCTCAAATTCTCCTTGGTGTCCATGGCCCTTCGATTGGCACTGTGAATAGTGATCTCTGTTCTGATCCCAATCCCAAGACACAGGTGTTTTGCTGTCTGTCAAGTCAAAACAGTTTGCACAGTCCCCTGAGGCATTTGCTGGTAATTTTTCTAAGAGGATTAAGACACTCACAGCTTTTCAGCCAGTCTAGTCTAGGTCACAGCCCCTGGTAAGGTCCATGCCGCACAAACAGCCCATAAAAACAGGCTGTTGAATGGAGGTTGGTGTAGATTAATGTTAAGTGTCTGATCACATGTGAGAAAGCCAAATCATGCCCAAGGCTTATTTCCAAACAAAGTGCAGTTTCCTGATTTGCAAGGAAGAGTCAGGGACAAGATTATGGAAAATCCCCAGGCAGCAACCACTCTGTTGTTTCTTGTACTCCTTTCCTTCAGCTGTAACACATAGGCTAAAGCCCATCATTGAAGACCTTGGTGTGAATGGTCTTTTCCTCAGCACAAACTACCAGTTATGAGTAAAACCTGCCCTCAGCAACTCCAACCAGTTCTCAAGTAAAATTTGGCAGCCAAGAGGAGACCCTCTTAAATGCTAATAATAATTCACTCACTTCATAAGCTGTGGGGCAGTTGGCAGTCTCAGGCCAGAGAGGGTCAAGAAATACGTGTCTCGGAGGCAGCTGTAGAGAGATCATCAGGAGAGAGGGGGATTTAACAGCACCTTGCCCCAATGAGCAAGGCCCACCAGTGGGGTGCTAACAAGGGAATCCCTCAGGCCTTCTGCCTCAGTTCAGCTGTGCCTTGGTGCTGTGTGCATGCACAATGGCACACAGACAGTGCGGGGTCACTGAAGAACTGTGTTGGGCCAGTCAAGTCGTGCTGGGGGCCGTAGGACACCCCTGTGCAGGAAATTCGAGTTCTCTGACAATCCTGATGGCTCGGACTCGGCGAGAACAGTGCTCAGCTGGGAGAAGGGGGTTGAACAAAGTGGCTTTGTTTGGTGTAATCCTCCTGAGCTGCTTCCCACTCCATGGGCTGAGGGGGTTTGGCACAGGATAAGCTGCACACGCACGCGTGCTGGGACACGCAGGCTCCTTGCTCGCCATCCGGCTTGGCTGAACAGGGGCACATTCACCTGCTGAGGAATTCGCCACGTGCCTCCCACGACTGCTTTGGGACACCTCAGCATGTCCTGGGGCAGGTTTCAGGGCATGCACTGTAGCATAGCAGGGACTGGGAGTCACGTGCATTTGACAGCATGCAAGACCAGGATGCAGAGTGCAGTTCCATGGCTATATCCTGACCAAGGCAGCTGTTCATACTCTCCAGCACCAAGGACTGGGAATTCTTCCTTCATTGCCAGCCCCAGTAGATTCAGAAAATATATTGAGAATATCTCTGGCACAGAAATCATCAGGTGTGGGCCAACCAGAGGGATTTCTCTGCCAAAGAGAAATTTGTTCTTCCCTTCAGAATGTTTTCCTGACATAATAGCTTAAGAAATAGCAATGCCTCTCAAACATTCTTTTTTGAGACTTTTCTGGCCAATCCAAATCATGAGAGGCTTTTCCCATCTTGGCAAGTAGAAGATGGCCCACCACGAAGGTGTTACAATTATTTACGGTTGTCCAAAAAAGGGAAAACACCAAACATGCACTGTTACCATACTTTCCCTGGAAGTATAGTGTGGCTCTTTCCCAGAGTACTTTTTAGGTATTCAGGCTTCTTGCTCTTCCCTTAAGGAATGGGTCCTCAGCCAAATGCAGGTGTTGCCCACCTGCACTGGGTTGTCCATGCAGGAGTGCATAGGCCAAATTTAACCATCTCATGTCTTCTCCAACCATCTCCTTTCTTCTCCAAACATCAGGCCGCCTGGTCGATGCTCTCAAGAACTATGAGGTGATCTTCTACCTGGCGGGCTCAGAGGTTGTGCTCTCCGCCCTCTTCCTGGGTGTTGCCAGCTACTGCTGCCTGAACCGAGGGAAGAAGGAGCCTCCCCCAGAGAACAACCCCTCTGCGGGAGCAGGGAGCGACACCGAGGAAGCAGAGTCCGATGTGCAGGAAGCCGAGGAGCACAGCAGTGACAACCACCAGCCGGCCCACAGCACTGACAATGCCGTGGTGGTGGCCAACGAGGAGGCCAACCATGTGGCAGAGGAGCAGAGAGGGGAGGGAGGCAGCTGTCCCACAGGGGATGGGGAGGTGTTGGCACGAGATGGCTGCAAAGCTGACCAGATGGTGGAGAGGGACAGTTTTTAGCCAGGGCAGAGAAGAGGGATGTATAAAACTGGCCTTTTTTGGAAGCACCTCAGCATGGGAGGGTAGGTGGGATGGGGGGAGCAGAAAGCTGGGACAAAGGCAGATGTAAGAAATAAGTGGGAGAGGTATAAGAATAGCTGGTCCTTATGTACATATGTCCACAACCTACCAAGTGATACATCTGCTTGCATCCTGCACCCTTGCTGGTACAACACAGGCTCAGAGCAGCCCAAACACCAAAAAAAAAAAAAAATCTTCTTTCCTCATTTTCAAACCAGCCCTGGAGAAAGTCTTCTGAAGAGGCTGCCAAGGACTCTCCTTTTCCTTCTGCATTGTCACAATACAGAACACAAACAATTAGAGACTCTTTGTAATCAGATCTGGTATGCTCTGTTCTAGTGTCAGTATTTCCTTCACCCCACTTCCACAGTCTGGATAGTGTCAGTTGCACTGGCAGCATGCTTAGGAGGTGGTGTAACCCATAGCGACCATCCAGCCACCTTCAGGGGCCACCAGGCTCTGTGCAACACCTCCCTCAGGCACTGCCAAACCAGGAGGCCACCAGCTCCAACCACCTCTGCCTGGCACATCTTTTGTGGATGGTGAAGCTGGGGCAGTGACACCTGATCTGCTTCCCCAAGTGGCAAAGTGCTGCGTTAGAGGCTGCTGCTGAGGTACAAGAAGACACCTAAGAAAGGCTAATGCCATTAGGTGTGCAGCCGCAGTACGGAGCCTTGCTGACAGGAATAGCATCAAGCCAGCTTTATGTAGGCTCAAGTGAGTCCCGTTGACGTGTGAAGAGAACAAGTTGGCTCCTGTGGGGGCGGGGGTTTCAAGACAGGTAAAAAACCATGTCCCAAGCAATTATCCACTGAGCAGGAATGGCACTAGATATGCCTGTGTTTTTCTCTTAAATAGAGAAAACCTCCTTACATAAAGGAATCAAAGGTAAGGCAGAAGGACAAGCCCCAGTCTCCAAGTGCTGCTAATGAGGGTGTTGGAGCACGTGGTAAAGCAGGCATGACCCCCTCACCCCCTGCTGCAGTGGTGGATTTCTAGAATCAGAGAGGACAACCTTCCCTGGCATGCTTAAACCACTTCTAATCTGCTTTAGGACTGGGTCTTTTATAAACACCCCTGGCCAAAGCTCTTTCTTCCGGTTTCCTGAACTGCTTCACCTCAGAGGCCCTGGGGGAACCTGTGACTATAACAAAGGATCAAAAACTAAGCAGAGGGCTACAGGGAAGGCAGCTCGTTGGGCCACCAAAAGTTGTGTTTCATTCCAGACCAGACTGACTACAAATTAATGGATAATTGGCAGGATCCATAAAGCCATTTAAACACAGCAGGGGAGTGGGGACATGAAGGCAAGAGTTTCCTTCTAGGTGCTCCCAAACAAAAAGCAGCAGTAAATGAAGCTGTTGAAGAATATCAGTTTAAGAAGAGACAGAAGAATTGGAAACTGGAGGGGAGAAGGTAAACCCCATGAGGCTGTACTCTGTCCCACCATAGCTAACAACACTGTTAGATCTGATTTTGAGCCTATCATAATGGTGACTGTGGGCTCTTTCCTATTCAAACTCACTTAGAAACATCCCAAAGGAAACAAAATCCCGTACCAAACCCCAGATTCAAAGCTCTGGGAGGATGAGAGCAGAAGCACAGGGGCCCTGCAGGCATTCATCCAGTGCTCTCAAAGCTTCTTTTCCCTCCCAACAAGGAAAGATTGCTGTTTCTGCTTGACCAAGTTGCTCTGCAGCTCTTTCCCCAGTAGCCCCAGGCTGAGTTTCCCTTATTCACTAGTATGCCCTCCAAGAAGGAGCTCATATCTTCCCAGAGGTCCAAGGTCCACAGCATGAAAACAACTGCCCTTGTCAGCCAGGCTGGTCACTAGAACAAGGTCCCCTCTGTTTCATTGTCACAAGCCAACATTTCCCACTAAGCCTCCCACTCTTAAATTATTCTCACAAAAGCAAATAAAAGCCCTCAGGGTACGAGAAATCACTACAGACAGTGCTGCAAGATTCCCAGACCTCTTCCTAAAAAACCCAGCTATGTTGCTTTACACTTGGTTTCAATGGCTTTCAGGCAGACTCCGCTGAAGCACTTTCAGTTCCCCCTCAACTGCTTCATGTTTTGGCACAACAACTCTGAAAGAGGATCAGGGACTTAAGCATCAGCTGAAGCTTGTGATGCAACAGCTGAGCTGTGTGGAGAAGCTGGCCCTGGAGAGGAACAGAGATGCCACCTTGGCAGGACTGAGGCACCTGGTGGCCTTTAAAAGGCTGGTGTTCCCCAGGGAAGCTAAAATGAAGAGAAGCTGGTATTACTGGAGGACTGTCCTTGCTATAGCATTTATAACTCTCTTCCTCTGGAAATCTAAAATGCAGAGAAGCTGGTATTACTGGAGGACTGTCCTTGCTACAGCATTTATACCTCTCTTCCTCTGGAAATCTGAACTGCACTGACCACCACAGGCTTGTATAGAGATTACGCACCAGTATAAGAAAAAAATGGCCAGACCATGACACCCATCTTCCCAAGATTATAGTTTAAGATTAAAACCAATACAAGATAAGCAAACAAATCTCTCATAGGAAAGGCATGAAGTACATGAAATGAAAAGTCACATATTTCTTTATTACAGACAATAGTCACTACACCAGTCTGTTTAAATTCTCCAGAGCAGCTTGACCATGGATGGCTTTTTTCCAGGCACCCAAAGAGATAAAGAAGCTCCAAAATCAAAGAGAAACACAAATACCAAAAAAAAAAAAAAATCCTGATCATAAATTAATGCACTTAAATAACTTCTCCCATGACCACTAGAATGTAAGGACAGAGAATTCAAGTCAAAACCCCTGGCCCAAGAACACCACCGCTCCTGGCAATTGTGCTGCACACTAACAGAGAAAGTGCCATCTGCATCTGGGATTGGCCCAAAGGGATGGAGGGAGGGGAAGAGAAAAGGAAAGAAGCACTCTCACTTACCTCAGCTTTCCTTTCCCAGCTTCCCTTGTACTAGGGAATGGGAAGATAGCTATTGCTACTAGCTAGCCCAGAGGCAGCATAAAATAGTTGTGCAGAGAGGAGAGCACGCTGCTCATTCTTTACACTAAAAAAACCCCAAAGCTTCTTCCTCTTTCCACAAGGCTTTGTGTCTCCTTGCTTGTTTAAAGCTGGGGTATTTCCATCACAGTCCTAAGGTGGATCCTCAGAAGGAGCTTGAAGACAGCAAGCAGTGATGCAGAGACCTGCCTGCACAGGGGCACATGGCGGTGTAGGAGTGGCTTTTCCTCCCCACAGCTCAGTAACCAGGTTGGGTAGCAGAAGTCTCCAAGGGCAAAAAGAATTATCCAGGCAAACAAGCAAAGGAAAAGAGAGGAAAGCAGAGGTTGGTCCCAATCCAACCAGCTACCCCACCCAAAGCAGAGGAGGAATCCCAGGCTGGACACACAGAGAAATCATGGAGGATGAATGGCCACGTGAAATACATGTTTTCATAAGTCTGCAAAGTCCTCCCTCTGGCCATGCTGACACACTCAGGCATCATCAATGAGCTTCTCTCCATTTGCATCCTCCCTCCCATTACCCTCTCTCTCGCTTTCTCCTTCTTCTTCCGCCCCATCTGTGTACGTGTCCTTCTGCCCATAGCTGAGAGTGGTGCGAGCAAGATCCACCTCGATGGGAAAGACATCCGCATCCCGGAGCACAACGTAGCAGTCGTCGTAGTACTTGGACATCGTGGAGACAAAACGCTGGAGCTGGAACACGATGTCCTGCACTGTAGTGGAGACGTGTGTGAGGGAGAAGTGTAAAAATTTCCTCCCCAAACAGTGTGAAGGCTGGATCAAGCCTCCCTTACCATTGTTAGATACCATCTCCTATACATTAATCCCTTTTGGCCCCTCAAGGTTGATGTCCCAGGTACAGCCACAAAGGAGCTGTTCAGCAAAGAACTGAGCCATCTTCCAAGCTGAGACAAAGGAAGAACAAGAAGGCCAAAGTCTTGTCTGCTGAACCCAGCAGTGGCACTCACCGTGTTTCTGGTCCAGGAGCTCTATTTTCTCTAGCACATCCTTCCTCATCTTGGCAAAGCGCGTGCGAGCCTCCTGACGGCAGCGCAGGATGAGGCGGTACTCGTAGTTCCCAGTGCTGACCCGGTAGAGAGGCTCACCCAGAGCCTGCCAAAAACACAGTGCCATTTCAGAGACTCCCACAACAGTGCCTGCACACAAGTCTGCCTATTACTGCCATTGTGGACTCACAATGACCTTGGGTTATTACAGACTTCTCAGGCACACAGGAACTGCTGTCAGGAAGCAGGAACCAGGAGGAACACTGAGCCGTGTCAAAAACCAGTAGTCAGTGGGGCCACTTTGAAGGCCAAACACACGCCAACCATGGTAAAGAAAAGCATCACTACTAATCAAATACAAAAGGACAGGCACCTTTCAGCCCAGTAAGACAGGCATTAAGAACAAGTTTATATCAAGCACACAAAAATTCTGCCCTCCTGCGTGAGGTTTTCACTGTATAGATTGCATAATGAATTACGTATCTACACAAGGAACCCTCTGGTATCTACAATCGCGTAGACACAATGCTGGAAATCAACATGGAGGGACCTATACATTGTTCTGCAAAAGTCTGGAAAGGGGTTAGCTCTGTCAGCAATGAAGCATCCTTCCCTTGCACCTGGTAAACACAACATACAGAAAGATCTGTGCTACAGACTACGGCTCCCTAACACACACTGAACGTGCCAAACCCAAAGATGTTGTTCTGCTGGGCAAGACTGGGATTCTTTCCTTCCCATTTACAAGGAAACATAATTAAAGATTGTGTTAGGAGTTTGATTCCTTCCTGGCACTTAGGAACTAGGCATTCCAAGAAATCAAATGTCTGCTCTGAGGTTGATACTGAGGATAAAAAAAGATGTTACTTTCATGCAGGGAAACTGGAATTTATGGGATAACTTTAGCTATTTTAAACAGAGCTGTTAAGGATTAAAGTCCTACAACTCTAAACTATAAACCCCCTATTGTTAAGAAAGATCCTTTAATCAATTTCCTTCACTTATAAATGCAGCTTCACATGCATTTTGCTGCAGAGAAGCTAAACCTCCATTTCTAAGAAACAAGTCCAGAATTAATGATAAGCTGTACACTACACACAAATGGAATTTGTGAAGATAACACCTTAATCCTCCTTACATAACCTAATAGTACTTAAATACTGAGAAAGGCAACCACTGAGCAAACAAGCTGCAGTGCTTCCCAGGTAGCATTTAAGCAGGGGAGCAGAAAGCCTATTTCTAATATTTCTAATACATTAAGAATAAATGTATGTAATTCCTTAGCATGCATTCACTAGTCTGGGTGTTGACAGGCACAGGAGTACTTTTGCAATTGTACTGATACTCACAATGCAGCTGTACTCTTCATCATCCATCTCTTTGACTTTCAGGCAGTAAGACTTTGCAGAATTAAAGATTTAAAAAAAAAGCAAAACAAGAATGAACTGTTAAAAATTAGAAACAACTTCATCACCACCCATAAACATGAGGATGCACCATTTCAAGCCTTCCTTCAGTGGACAGACTCTGAAGAAAGCACAGTGGAAAAAATCCTGTGTTTATCTACTCTTTGGGAAAAGACAGTACATGAAAAGTATGAGCTGAGAATAAGAAGGGAAAGAAAAATATTAATTGCAAGAAGGATTGATGTAGGAAGAGATTTTGCCATATTCCCTTGCCTTAGGGCTGCAGCTCCAAGTACTTCTCTCAACAGGTAAAAGGAAATAGATTCCTTCAATTAGAGAACAGGTACACTGAGTGACCTTACCCTTTTTGGGTAGAAAACAAAGGCTGAGTGGAATGAAGGAGGAAAAAAAACCAGCAAGGTCTAAATTAAAGCAAATATGAGTTGACAGTTGTTTACTTTGGCTAAAGAAAGAGTGTCCAAAATTACCTGAAAAATATGGAGGAGGAGCTCTTTAGAGGAGTTCAAGAGCCTAAGTTGCAGAGGAAGTCTTTAGAAATAAATCTGGAAATCATTCCGACCATGTAGAAAATAAGTCATGTGAGTACTGTAAGATCTTTCTTACCAGTGAAAGTGTTAGGTTAAAAGCAGGTGTCTGAATCTGAGTAATCTGGTAGTAAATAAAGAACTAGAAAAAACAGAGCATTCTCTCATGGAATATGGAATAGATATGTGATCATAGAGGCTAGATGTGACTTTCAGGATGATTCTATTAAATTTAATTTCAACCAACACTTAAAAAAAAAAAAAAAAAAAAGCAGCTCACCAAATATTCAAACTTGACATCCAGATATTTTTTGATAGTCAGCCTCGTGTCAGGAATAGCTTTATTCAGATAGGTATTCAAGTCAGTAAGCATCTGCAAGGAAAACACCCTCTTGCTGAATTAAGACTAAAAAGCATGACTACAATTCAAGAGCAACCTTTTACCCAGCACATTTCATGAGACTGCCTGAAAACTCTTCTTTGAAAGAAAATGTTTGATCATGGCTCAGAATGCTTAGAGTATCTTTTACTGTCACTGGCAAGTGTTTCCAGTGCTAGAAATGCTTGCCTCTCTTCTAGCCTGGATTAATCTGCTTTTGACTTGTTTTATTTTAAGCTGGTCCTGGAAACAGCTCTCTTTGATTTAGAGTTTCATGACCCAGCATTGTCCATCCAACACAGCACTGAAAGTGGTGCCCAAATCAACACTTAAACTCTCTCTTTGCTAAAATAAGTGCACAGAACTCCTGGAGACTCTCACTCAAATACATTGATTGAAATTCTTACATTGTTCCTTGGTTGCTTGCCTTAACTCTTTTAATGACACAATGCAGTTATGGGTACCAATATCAGGTACTAGACTGGTCAGTGAGACTACCTCATTCCCAAAAGAAAAGGAGGGGAATATGCAGAAGTCATAAGGGCATGGTTGATATATTCATTATGTTACCTCTCAGGTTCTTTTCATTATGAAGACAATTCCCTGAGGGAAAGCAGACAAGCATCCTTCTTCCCTCAATGAATGAACTTTTAAGACCACACTTTAAAGACAGACTTCTGCCTTCCTAGATACCCCTTCTTCTCCAAACCCTTTACTCCTATGGTTAAATTCTTTACCGGCTTAATTGTTTTCAGAAGGTGAATCCCAAACTTCTCAATGTTGCGATGGGCATCAGCAAATTTCACAAAGGCTTCACTGGCAGCTGGTTGTGGCTCCCGTACACCAATGACAGAGAAAACATCTCCAAATGCTGCATATGCAGAATAATTACAGAAAGATGAATAAAGAGATGAACCCTGAGAAAAATCTTGTCTCCAGTATTACAAGTCCCTCCCATAACCTTACAATTAGCTGGGGGATGATACTACATGGGGGAAACAGTAAAGGTAAGCTAATTATTCCCTAAAACCCAGAGTTTGGCAGGGCATTTCCCCAGTGTTTCCTGTGAAGGACAGGGCCTGTGTTAGTACTATGACTAGTAATACAGGAGAGCGGCCCTTCACAGCTCATTTCTGCAACCCTCAGTTTTTTTTGAGTAAGGGAATCGCACATCAAAGTACTGAAACTGAAGGTCAAAGATCTGTGCTACCTTTGCTCAAGATTCTTTACCTCTGTGTGTCTGTGATAGCTCAAAGAAAGCCCTGAGAAGACTCTTGGTGTGCTCTGTCAAGCCTGTGATGGAAGCCAGAAGAAACATTTAAGTCACTTCACTGAAACACAATGAAGGTATCCTTCTCTCCCATCTACTGTTTGCTGGAATACCAAGTTTACCTTTGTATAATTCTGCAGTCCTCTCCAGCTCCTCTAATCTCTTCACTAGTCCATCTAAATAGAAACAAGAATCAGAATACAGAATTGTAACAGTCACATTCAGGACATGGTTAAGACCTGACTAGGTGGAAAAATACGAGTTTCATATATTTAGTTCAAGCTTCCCTCATCCCTTAATGCCTATCCTGTCCCAACATGGGAAGCTTTTAAAATTACGGCAAACTTATTTTACAGCATGAGGTCATCATCTATGGGCATTCACTACGTTGGTCCCTGCTTTAAATTAATCTGACCTGAGATAACATTTAAGTGGCCACAAAGACAGGCTGTATCACTCAGGAAGGGCAAAGACAATCACAAGAGCAAGGCAGAGCAGAAGAAAAGAATGTGGACAATGCAAGCAACATTAAAAAGCACACACAGGCAAGTAAGCATTCCATTAGGAAAATGTCCTCCTGGACAATACTTACCATTGCAAAGTATGGCTCGGCTTAACCCCAGGGCATCTGCTGTCCCCGAGCTCATGTTCTCTACCAGCCGGTGCTTTACCTTCTTCAATACTAAAGGCCAAAACAAAGTTACAAACAGCATCAGGGTCACTTCCACGGGCAAGAAAAGCTCACCAGCACGTTTCTCTGGTTTCCCAGGCACTGGATAAACTGCTCTTAACTCAGTATTGAGACAGCAAGAAGAAAGAATACTGTAGAAACAGGGCACTCTGGTCCTGCCATGCATAACACATCTTCTAACTTGCTTATCTGCCCTGCTCTCACATCCTAAACACTTCAATCAATGGAGCTCCAGCAATTCTTTTGGAAGGCTGTCACAGTCAATGACTTTGTTAAAAAGCACTTGATATTTGGAACTAAACTTTGCTTATGCAATCTGCTGTATTACTTCAGCTGAAGTAATGGGGCTGAAAGACAATCAGGATGTAATGCTTAGTGTTGTCTCTTTCCTTACTTTTACCTTTTGAATCCCAGTTAAACCCTTTCATCACCTCTTGATGGAATTTCTCCCTTTGGTGGTCATACCCTACAAATTACCAGAGACATCTATGCCCTCCTTGGAGCCAGATGACTCAGTCACCTTTATTTGCAGGCAAATTTGCCTGCAGATCCCAAGAACTCAGCTGAAGCCACAGTGTTCTGGAAAATACCATATTCTGATCATACTTCTGTTTTCCCAGAAATCCATCTCACTATTCACAATTTTCCAGAACTCCTGTCAATTTATTAGCACCATAATCACCAAGAAAAGAAATTACAGCAGAGAATGGATACATTTTGCTGAAAGTGAGAAAGGCAGACCATATAAAGGAGACAGCTGTGTAGGCTTAGCTCAAAACCAGACACTTTGTTTTAGTAATAAAAGCTCTCCTGTCTCCCATAAAATTTATGTTTGTACAAAACTCCGTGTAGATAGGTATTTCATAACTGCTCTCCATGGTTAGAAATAACCACCAAAGCCTTTCAGTCAACACATTTCTGTGTACATCTTAAAATAGGTCAGCCTAACTTGCACGTAGTAAAAACAAATTAATTAAATTATTATGCAGTAGAGATTCATCATCCATGGTAAACACAGCACAGAAAAACAAGCCTCTCACAACAACAATTAAGTCTTGATTCAACTTTCAAGCCTATTTCAAAATGTCACGGAAGGATTTTTTTTTTTAGAACCTGTAACTCTCTTTGACAGTATCCAATTGAAAATGACTGAACTAAGAGCAAGAAAGGAAACAGATTTGGTTTTGGCTGGGACCAATTTTGGACCCTTCCTGCATCATTTTAACACTCTAGGGAGAAAGAAACCAGTCTTACCAATATCCAAAGACTTGCCCTGCTTTGGGTCAGCCTGAAGCTTGTTGTAGTGTATTGTCACTTCTCCCTGCAGAAAGAGCAAACCCCAAACTGCTGTGCTGGAAGCAGGCAGCAGCGGCTCCCTTTACCCAAGGACAATAAGCTGCCAACTAAGACCCAGAAGCTCCAGCGGTCCCCTCCTACCTCTCACCTTTACCATCTGTATCATCTTGGCCACCTCCACTTTGGTCTTCCCTTTGACGGATTTCCCGTTGACCCCAGTGATTTCATCCCCAGCTGCTACGGTGCCGTCTAAGGCTGCTGGAGTGTTATCGAACACCTGCGAGAGAGCACAGGCAGTCTGCAGGCAGGAGCAGGGCCCACGCAGAGCTACAGAGCACAAACCAAACAGCTGCATTCCTCCCACTTAATTCACTTCTGCTTTGTCCATGGTGAAGCTGCAGTCTTCCCCCTTCCCTAACCAAGAGGTGGGCTGATCATCTTGTTCCCTCAGGAAGTTCTTGCCCCTAAGATGTGCCTCCTCCAGCATAGGATTTCCTGGCAGTGGGAGTGTCACACTGTTCCCCTGTGAATTCTAACATGCTCTCCAAGGAGAAGGACTATTCTAGAAGTCTTAATTTAATTCTTCCACACCTAGTAGCTACTAGAGTAAGGAAAATTTTTCACTGGAAAGTGAGATGTCATCTCCCACAAAAAGCATAGGGCTCTCTTTCCACACTTCTCATCTCTCAGGCCAACACTGTTTTAAAAAGATGGCTTATTTATCCTCCCCAGGTGCCCACCTGGACAATGTAGAGACAGGGGCAGTACTGTGCTCCTCCTCCAATGCTGATCCCAATCAGATTCTGAGAGTCCTTCTTCAGGGTCACTGTCCCAGGTACAGTGGGGATACCCCTACAAAGAGAAAGGAATAACTGAACATAGGCAGAGCTGCCCGCATATGAAACAACTCTGGTATCTGAGTCAGTATAAATGGAGAACATCATGGACATTGCACATCTGAATTCATTCCTTCACTTCTGCCACAGAGCTGGGCCAGCCCAGGAGACTTTCTGTGCCATCTTTTTCTTGGGATTGCATGCAAGGATTACAGGTGGAAGAGACACCCTCATCCATTGCTAGGCACTGAGGAAACACTATCATGCTTTAGTGTTTCACCTGCACTTAGTGCTGGAGTGAGAGGACAACTTGCACAGCACAAATGTGATGCAAATCAAGCGCTCTATGTTAAATGCAAGGCAGTCACTGCAGAGCAATACAACTATTCTCCTCTGCTCACCAGCACAGCAATGACTCATCCCCACTCTCCAGAGGGAGCAAGAAATCAGTACGGAACAGGAAGGCTGATGTTCAGCACACAGTGTCATACACAGGTAAATTTATCAACTTTCATTAGGTCTTGGCTGCGAAGCTAAATTCTATTATAAGAAACACCAGGAAAAGACAAGAGAAATACTCACAGCTTATCTTCCTCAATATCATAGTCCA